ATTTATATGATAACCTATCATTAACAGGCAAGAATAGGATGGTGTCTCTTGATTTCCCTTAGTGTTAAATGAGAAATTTAATATGTTTTTATTTACCTGCTTCTCTATTTTCATTAATGTGGTCTAAGATTTTTTAATTCAGACTATTACTAAATTATAATTTTAAATAATTTATACACTTTTTAAATTAACTTTTACATGGGCATAAAGATTATGAAAACCCTAAGGTGTCACAACCTTAAATTAATTTCTACTTTTTCAAGTGTATTTCAAAAGGAATCTTAAGCCATCAAAATTAAACTCTAATATCCTATTATTCATTATTTTCTTGATTTATTTTTATATTATATCTTTAAATGGTACCATTTTCATTTTTCCTGTTGTCCACATTCAAACTATTTCTTTGCTCATTAGACTAGGAGAAAAGAAGTAGAAATAGTCAGATTTGAAATTAAGATACCAAGTTATGTATTCAATATTTGCTATAGCAAAGTCTAAGGTCTGGAACATGTTTAGGATTATTGGATTAATAGATTTTATGGTGGTGGGTTTTATGGGGAGAATTACCAGTAATTTAGTAGATTTGTAAGCTTGTTTTCTAAGATGTTCCTGTCATTTACTGCATCAGGTAACACAGGGCCTGGCACTTAGATTCTCAGTAATATTTGTTCAGTGACAGAAGCTGTCCTCTGTTGCTTTTGAGTCTCTAACAGACTGTTTTCCCCATCTTGAAAGTGCCTAGTCATCTAACCTCCTCTCAAAGGGACACCAACTTCATTCTCTCTCTATAATAAGGGACCTTTATGGGCCTCTCCTAGTTTTTTCAGAACATGCTTGAGGACCATATAGGGAAGCAGGGTCTTAGAGGACATTCAGTCTTGTCTTGGAAACAGTGGAGAAGGAAGTGTAGCAGTTGCTAGGGGTAATATTATATCTTTAAGAAAACAATGCTGTTGCTAAGTTATTTTTAGACATAGAAGCCTTCTCTTTATTTTTTTATTTTTTTAGTACATGATCATGTAGCTAGACTACCAAGAGGTGGGGAGTGAAGTGAAGCTGAGAACAGCCTCTCCAGGATTATCAGGTCAGGGTGAAGTTCTTGGCAAGAGACTCGATTTAGTGTGGCATTCTGGAAAGCACATGGGCTGAGGAGGCAGGAGACCTTTATTCTAGCTTTGATTCCCTGTTCTTGTTTGTGACTGTGGCAAAAACCATTTAAGTTTTGTGAGTCTCAGACTAGATTTATTAAATGAGGAATCTGACTCAAAGATCCTTTCTAACTTTAAAATTCTATGACTGACCAGAGGACCAGGGTAGAACATGGAGGCTTCTACTTATCAAGCATTTTTATTTTTAATATCATTTTGTAAAATCAAGAAGAATAAATCATTTATCTTACTGCTTTGAATAGGAGGATTAGAAGAAGGAATCATATGTGGCTCGCATGTTTATGTTCTGACTTCATATTAGGTAAGTGGCATGACGTGTTGCAGTCGATTGTCTATATTGTAACACATGGAAATAATCTGGTACTAGAATAACTCAGAGGAATATTTGTTGTTGTTGTTGTTTGTTCTGTTTTTGTTTTCTTGAGACAAGATTTCACTCCATCACCCAGGCTGGCATGCAATGGCTTGATCATAGCTTACTGCAGCCTTGAACTCTCAGGCTGAAGTGATCCTCCCACCTCAGTCCCCTGACTAGTTGGGACTACAGACATGCATCACCATCTTTGGCTAATTTTTTAAATTTTTTTATAGAGACAGGGTCTCCCTGTCTTACACAGGCTGGTCTCAAACCCCTGGCTTCAAGCAGTCCTCCTACCTTGGCCTCCCAAAATGTTGGGATTTCAGGCCTGAGCACCTGCGCCTAGCCAGGAATGTTAAATCACCATTTTTTCCTGAAGAAAATGCGACAAAAATATTTATCTAGATTCCCAGAAGTTTATCACCTTTTCCACTGGGATATGTGTGTTTCTCAAAATTGAGGATACTGGGTGGTGGGCCTGTTGTGTGGTACCAGTCAGCCATCAGGCTGCGGGTCACGCTGAACATCCTTCATTGAAGTCCCGAGTGGTGAAAAGGCTGCTGGCACCGAAGTTGTGTTTTACAAGGGCAGTAATAGGATGCTGCCCGAGCTGGCTGTATGTCGTAAGTTGAGCTGGGCATGATCACATGCAAGGTGGGCAGAGAGAGTTTTCAAATAATGAGCATGTCACAGTTGTGAAGAGCTGGGGAAGAGTGCTGACTGAATAAAATCTATGTAGCAGTCAAAGAGTGACCCTTTTTGAAGAAAGGCTTTGTTCTGCCCAGATTCTGGACAAAGAGCCACCAACAAAGGCTCCATCCAGAGCAGCACAGAAAAGACCTGACAGTGGACATTGGCTGCTTTTCTTCTCTGTAGTCATCACATTGAGAACTAAAAAAATAGTTGAAAAGTTTTATTTCCCTCTTTATCAAGAGCTTCCAGGGATCGGAGAGAGTTGTTTCATTTCAGAAATATGTTTTGTTTTAGTAAACACATATGAATTGAATAAATGCAAATAAAATTCAAAATAAATTAGAAATGTGAGTTTAAAAATGTGTATGATAGGCTTTTAAGTGCCACTGCATCGTAGGCCCTGGTTAGTGATGCAGAAATCAACAGTCAGTAAATTCTCCCCTCAGGAACTTCAGTACAGCTAGTGCTCGACTTACGACCACAATTGGGACCAGCAGACCGGTCGTAACACGATTTGGTCGTAAGTTGAGTAGGCTATATGTACAGTTGAAATGGTGCACACGGAGATGGTAGTGCTGCCGGAAGCTGGTCCGCACTGTCGTACACCCAGCTGGGCAACGTTTGCACTGCCAGATGCGGAGCAGTTGTGGCTAGCGATTGTGGTTGTAAAGTTGAATGGTTGTAAGTTGTATAGGTCGTAAGTCGATCAATACCTGTAAGACCAATAAATACTATGTCATGTAATAATACTATTACATGACTAATACTATGTTTCATTCAGTTTTTATGGAGAATCTACCCTATGCAAGGCAATAGGACTTACAAAGTAAGACAGAGAAGATCAAGTCTCTGTTCTCAAGGCATTTATAGTCCCAAGGGATGTGAGTGAATAGGTAACTAGAGTGCCAGGTACACGGGGGCCTGCAGGAGAGAATAATAGAATGTATGGCGTGAATAACGCAGGTGACTTGAATGTGTCCTGACATTAGAATGAAGCAGCCTCAGGGTGCCTATACTTTCAGATTTCCAGAGTGTTTAAGCCTTCTAGAACTACAGAGTTAACTACTGGAGAAACCATTCTGGTATGTTTTTATACATATTAATGAGTCTAGCTATGGACTCATTAATACCTATAAAGCATCTGAGAGGAAAAAATAATACCTATAAATCATCTGGGAGGAAAAAAAATAGTTGATACATGTGCTTTCTGTTTTCAGCTGATGATGAAGATGATGATTGGATCCCCCTTTACTCGCTACAAATTATGTCTAAAATTTTAAATTTGAAATTATAGAGAGATACCTTTTGATCAAACATTTTTCCCTGTTAAGTTACAGTAGAAGTCTTCCTTGAACTTAAAGTCTATTTAAAAGAGATTGCATGGCCCCCCACAGTCATTGAATCCCACGGCTCTTTGAGGTAGGGATTTCCTATTCAGCCCAGTGTCCTGTCCTCCTGTTCAAGTACGAGGCTGCTTTCTCTCTCTCTCATTATTGAAGTGTTGGTCTTTTTTGACAACAGTAGAGGACTGTAATTTATTTTAAGCTGGATTTGTAAATGGAAGGGGCCCAGGCTGAGTCTGGCCTGTGTTGCATGTGGCTTACCTCCATGCCTGAGCCACAAAAGGCCCGCTATTTGCTGTTTTTAGGGAGTTAGTAAGAGCTTTTGTGATAGTTTATACACATTTTATTGGCTAAAAGCTAGATGATCTGAAGGAAAAAAGAGCAGGATACAAAAGTCAAGGTTCTGGCTGTGAACTAGAAGAAAAGTTAAAAATATAAAAACCAGCACAAATGGTACAAACAAGAATTAGAAATTAGGAAGAGCCTAGAAGGAGAGGTTTTTAATTATAGCACCTGTTAAGACATTTGAAATTGTTACAGTGATTTTAAATAGGCAAACTTTTGGTCTTAAAAAGAATCAAGGGCTCTACTTTCTGTGTGTAGTTTATTAAATGTAAACACATAACAAAATTTAAAGGGAAAAGGTAATCTTTTTATGTGAAACTGTTTTGATTTATGGCTTCCCAGACTTTGAGAGCCTCTTTGCACCTTGATTAATACACTGAGTAGTTTTAAAAGCTTAATAAAATTGTTGAGGGGGGTGTGGCATGAGCAGATATTTTTAATATAGCAATTGGGAATATCATTAAGAAGATTATTTAAGCAGTTTGTAACATAAGCCTTGAATGGTGTTACTAAATAAAGAAAATGAGGTTTTAGAAATTTGAACATGTTAACTGTAAAAAAAGTAAACTTTTTTCATGTAATACTGAAATCAACTATGGAATTGAAGAAACTAAGATTTTTCTTTCTAAAATAAAATTATTTACGGAGGAAAATCATAACAGTTTCTCTTTGTTAAAAAACAAAAAGCATTTATAGCTCAGGCTAAAGTTCCATTTGACTACCACCCTTCTGTGTCCCCAGAGATCATCATTTTGCTACTTAGTCTTCCAAATTGTCTTCTAAATATTTTTATGCATATATGTGTATACATACAACAGATGTATATGTTTTTTTGGATGTTTAAAAAAACATAGAATGTTGATTGCTGGTTCATTTTAAATATGGCCTTCCATTGTTATGTTTTATTTTGAACTCTTCTGCAGTATTACTAATAGCAGCTGACATTTATTATGGAGTAGTTACTATGGGCTAGGCAGGATGCTTAGCATTTTTCATATAATTTAGCTCCATAATCATAATAACCTTCAGAAGTAAAATAGTTGATTTTATATGAATAAAATTCCACGTTCAATATACCTTTCATTTACAGTAAATTATTAATGACAGTAGTTTGGCATTCTTTAATAAGACTTCAATACCAAAACATTTGAAATGATTCTTAAAAATTGCTAAGACTGGAACTGCCAGTCTGTTACATTTTTTATTCTTGTGCAGTTGGCCTTTACCAGGTCCTCGGAGTCAGGTGTCTGCTTGCTCAACCAGAAAGCTGACATTATGAGGGTGATTCTTGCTTAACTTTTAGGAGTGAAGTGGTAGTATGTGTCCTATTTGACTGATTTTAAATAAGGAACAGACAACCCCAGACATTTCCTCACAAGTTAATGGTTTGAAAAGCCTGTGCCTGTGGTGATGTCCATTTTGGGGACAGTTATAGGATACAAGACTTAGATTGAAGGAAGTTCCCTTTTGAAAGAAGCCTTTCTTTTTGCCCTTAGTCATCCTGGTATGAGGAAATAAAGGCTGCCGCGATGGAACTCCAAGAATTGTTATGGGAATTGGTAGAAAGGGAGTGATATTGGGTAGGTTGAGAGAAAAAAAAATGTGCTTACGTATAAACTGATTTTGGAGCTTGGATGAGGATATTTTCCCCATTTCATGACAAAATAAAGAGCTTTTAGTGAATGAGATAGCTCTCAAAAAGTTTTAAATCTCAGCTCTGCTGCTTAGCTAGCTGTGTGACTTTGAATAGGTACTTGACACTGTTTTAATCAAAATATTCAGTTCATCCAGCTGTAGGGTTGAAATGACGTAAAGTATGTTAAGCATTGCTAAGTGCTATATAAATGTTTCAGTATTAGGTGGTATTCTTACCTTTTTCATCATCGTTAACTGTTGTCAAAATCTCCTATAGTTCGTATCTATACTAAAGACTTAACCTACTTGCTTCTATCCTTTGTTACTTGAGAAAGGTTACTATATTAGGGTTCTGTTATTTTCAGAAAATAAAAAGAGATCCTATCACCTCTTTTAACATTTAACAAATATTGAAGGCCTAATATATTTCAGTCAACATTTCTTCTGGCTGAATGCTAATAAAGAAAAGATCATTTATATTAATAGTAACTCTGGAGGAGAGGAGAAGGTCCCGATAAATATCATTTGCCAAAGGTCCCAGTAAATATCATTTCATTGCCATTATTAGTCTTCATAGGCATTTTTTATCTTTTTTGTCTTCAACATTTAAAAAAGCATTAATTAATATCTGTCCACTTATGCAAGTATTTGTAAGTAAATGAATTTGTAAATGGTTATGATGAGACATTGAAATAAAACAATAAAAGTTTACCTTCCTTTGGTTTGGTTTTGGTTATAATACTTTAAAGTCACAAATAACATTTAATGGGAGTTTGAGGATTTTATGTTTAATAGGATGGAACATGGGTTGAAAATGTTAAGAAGTGCTCATTTCCAGAGTAAGTGTCATTTTCAGCTGAGGAGACTGAACTCCACTGAGCTTGCATTTGGTACATACACTTCAGGGTCCACATTCTAATGGGGAACTGATTCTTGCTAGAAACCCAGTCAGAAGTCTGGTTTATTCTGGGTTTGTTTAAAATTTTCCTCCCCACTGTTTTGCTGTATTTTCCTAACCTAAGTGTTACAGAAATTCAGAATTCATGGAAAGAATGAGCACCTTTAGCTTCTTACAGTGTCATGAGACTGCATATTGTGATCCAGTGTTGGAGAAATTAAAAATCAGTTGTTTAAGGCAACTAGGATGTCTACAGTTTAAATCTCACTTACAGTTTTTTAGTGATATGCCGTTTAGTATATGAAAACACTGTGGGTATAGGCTGTTCCTTAAAGCAGACTATGTGTGCTTTGGAGGGGGCACTTTGCTAGGGGAAAAAAAATCTTTTTTGTTCCCTCTTCTAGAGAGTTCTGAAAGTCTGCCCTTTTGACTTTCATTGGCAGTTGTTCATTGTCATCTCCATATTCTTTCATTTATTTTTTGACTTACTCTGTGGCAAACCATCTCTATCCTGAAGTTAGACCAATGAAAAAAATCTTATTTCAAAGTGACCCATGAAATTCCATTCCATAGTTTAAGTGTGTCACATTGGAAATACCACCTTTTTCTCCACTGTGTTTTGTTACCCTAACCTATGCCCTCACCATCTGAGGACTGTTTTTGTGTGTATTTTTAAAATGAATATCTCTCAAACTCACTGGTTTGTGGAAACTGAGCATTTCCCTGTTACCCACAGGCAGCTGTGGTAAGCGTGTCTTGTTTTCTTCAGATCCCAATCACAGGTTTCTAAAGGTATCTAAGATCTGTACAGTCACATCTGCTTTTCCAAGTAACAGCTAGAAATATTTTACCTTGCCTTCACTATAGCTAGGCTATAATAAAGTTTACTATCAGAGGCCAGCCAGGCGCAGTGGCTCACCCCTGTAATCCTAGCAATTTGGGGGCCGAAGTAGGTGGATCACCTGAGGTCAGGAGTTCGAGACCATCCTGACCAACATGGAGAAACCCCATATCTACTAAAAATACAAAATTAGCTGGGCGTGGTGGTACATGCCTGTAATCTCAGCTACTCAGGAGGCTGAGGCAGGAAGATTGCTTGAACCTGGGAGCTGGATATTGCAGTGAGCCGAGATCACCTCCTGCACTCCAGCCTGGGCAACAAGAGCAAACTCCGTCTCAGAAACAGAAAAGTTTACAATCACTTAAATTCTCTAAGCTTCTGGCTTGGAATATTGAAGAAACTTTTACAGAGAGTAGGTAAAGGATGGAGTAAGAATTTCTGATTCAATTGCGTGTTATTTATTGTGGAAAGAATGCTTTCCCTACAGACTGACTAGGAACAAGATGTTTAAACATAAGCCAGGGTGGAGACCTATTTGTTTGGTCAGCTTTATAGGAGCCACGTTTCCCTACTTAGGATGAGCTTGCCAACTATTCCATCCTCCTACCCCTGCCTGATTCTTCAAGTGTCTTTGGAATTTTTAGGCAGTAATACAGTATATATGTAGCAATTAGGCTAGAGGCTGTTTTGTGGAGCAGCATGATTTTATCATGCCATTATAAATTTATGCTGTGCTCTGTGTGTGTGTGTGTGTGTGTGTGTGTGTAAAATGTCTCCCCCCACCCCCTTTTCTCAATCCCTCTTTGCTCTTGGCTTGTATATTCATATAACTGGGCAGCAGCAGGACTTCATTTATCACAGGCAGTGGGAGGGGGTACAGAGATATGAAAGGGTTACTGTTCACATTTCCTGTGTAATTCCCTCTGATCTTACTGAGTTGTAATTCCTTTCTTGATGTTAAACATTCCCAGGCTCCAATAACCTTCTGGCCTGCTTGCACTGGCCAAGTTTGTCCCAGGTGATCATGTAGGCGTACCTCCTGTTTTTAAGACAAGAAATCGCTCCCTCCTTGATGAGATAGGCTAAATATTCATTTCTTTTCAGCCCCAGAAGAAATCCCTTTAATTTAAAACAACAACAGAGCAGTAACATATTAGTTTTAAAATTAAAATTTGGCAAGATTGTTGTCAGGTTAATTTTGTAGATTTTTAAATCTATTCTGTCACAATTTAGTGAGTTTCTGGTTGAATGAAACCCTATGGACATATTAAAGATTACATCCTTTCTTTTTAAAATACACTATAAAAATGGGTTTTGATTCTAAAAGGATAAATTTTGACCTTACCATCTCACTTTTAGCCTACTTAAACAGTAGATCATTTTAAGTTGCCTCAGATACAAAGCAGCTTAGCTGAAACTACAATATTTTTGCTTTTCTTTATTAGCTCTCAGAAGTTTATAGTTGAGCATTGGAGAGATACTTATTTCCTTTTTCCCTGGTTTTAAAAGTATATACCAGCTCATCTTTCCCCCACAATTTAAAATACATAAATGTTTGTGGTTGACAAAAAGGCTTTCTATTTTTGCCTTTTCCTCTAAATTTTTAGAAGACAATATTATGCCATGAAGCATAAGAATGGTTTAGCAGCTGTTTATGAATTTACAGGGACAAGGAGTACTTTTGCCAACACTGCCTTAATCTCAGGTAAAGAGCTTTGGTTTGGACAAGGCTCCAAGGGTAAGTTTACTCTTATTGCTTATAGCACCTCTCTGTATCTTTCAGTCAACAACTTGGGAACCTAGGGGCTTGGGGACTGAAATGAAACAGTATCTCTTTGAAGGAGTTTCTAGGATAATTTTAAGTTTGCTAGTGTTTAGGCAAAGTAAACTGTCTGCATTGCTCTAAGCAATGAGATAAAATATTTTTAGTGCCCCTTAACTGTCTGGAATACAGTTTTACAGGGAGGTAGGTAGATGAATTTTTGTATTAGTTCTGTTTAAATCTGCTTTAGAGAGCCAATATGAATTGCTGATATTAATCATTCACCTTTAGTTCTCCATTGCCTAATACAGAGCCTGTCACACAATAGGTTTTCATTTTCTTTTTCTTTTTTTTTTTTTTTGAGACAGGAGCTCACTTGGTCACCCAGACTATAGTACAGTGGCATGATCATAGCCCACTATAGCCCCAAACTCCTGGGCTCAAGTGATCCTCCCACCTCAGCCTCCTCAGTACCTAGGATTACAGGCAAATGCCACCATGCCCTGCTAATTTTTTTTAATTATTATTTTGTAGAGACAAGGTCTTGCTATATTGCCCAGAATGGTCTAGATAGAACTCCTGTCCTTAAGTGATCCTCCCACTTTGACATCCAAAGTTCTGGGTAATTATAGGCATTGGGTTTTCAATAATGGTTTGTTAAATGAACGAATAAGACTCCTGGATTACTTTTGTAGATTCTATTTTTTTTTTGTACAATATTCCTAATAGTAAAGAGTGATGCATTCAGTATGTACATCTTTTTTTACATAGAGTAGATAAAGGATGGAGTAAGAACTTCTGATTCGATTGCGTGTTATTTATTGTGACAAGAGTTGACGAAGTATTGGGTACTATAAAGCACTGAATACTAATGTCACTCAACAAATACTTGCAGAATGCTAAACAGCATTGTGCCTGGTATTGTGGGCTCTCCAGAGATGTACACCACCTTGTCCCTGCCATCTAAAGTGTCCTAGACTTCTCAATGAACAGGATATGTACACTAATCAAGTTAAACAGCAACCTAAAGTAACATCAATTTAAAGTTTAAAATAATTTCAACTTTTATTTTAGATTCGGGGGTACATGTGCAGATTTGTTACATGGGTATATTGTGTAACGCTGAGGTTTAGGGTATAGATGATCCTGTCACCTAGGTACTGAGCATAGCACCCAATAGTTCCTTTTCAACTCTTGCCTCCCTACTCCCTCTCTCCTTCCTCTAGTAGTCCCCAGGGTGTATAGCTCCCATCTTTGTGTCCATGTGTACCTAATGTTTCACTTCCACTTCTAAGTAAGGACATGCAGTAGTTTTCCATTCCTGAGTTAATTCACTTAGGATCATGGCCTCCAGCTGCATCCATGTTGCTGCCAAGGACATTTTTTTTTTATTTTTTTATTGCTGCATAGTATTCCATGATGTATATATACCACATTTTCTTTGGTGGACTTCTTGGTTGATTCCATGTCTTTGCTATTGTGCATAGTGCTGTCATGAACCTAGGAGCTCATGTGTCTTTTTTATAGAACAATTTTTTCCTTTAGGTATATGCTCAGTAATGGGATTGCTGGGTTGAATGGTAGTTCTGTTTTTAAGTTCTTTGAGAACTCTCCAAAGTGCTGTCCTCAGTGGCTGCACTAATTTACATTCCCACCAACAGTGTGTAAGCATTCCCTTTTCTCTGCAGTCTCATCAGCATCTGTTATTTTTTTATTTTTAATACTAGCCATTCTGACTGGTATGAGATGGTATCTCATTTTGGTTTTGATTTGCATTTCTCTGATGATTAGTGATGTTGAGCTTTTTTTAATATATATATTTGTTGGCTGCTTTTATGTATTCTTTTGCAAAGTGTTTATTCATGTCCTTTGCCCACTTTCTAATGGGGTTATTTGCTTGTTGAATTGCTTAAGTTCCTTATAGATTCTGGATAGTAGACCTTTATAGGATGTGTAGCTTTTGAATATTTTCTCCCATTCTGTAAGGTCTGTTTATGCTGTTGAGAGCTTCTTTTGCTGTGCAAAACCTCTTTAATTTAATTAAGTCTCACTTGTCAATTTTTTTGGTACAATTGCTTTTGAAGTCTTAGCTACAAATTCCTTGCCAAGGCCAATGTCCAGAATGGTATTTCCTAGGTTTTTTCTAGGATTTTTATAGTTTGAGGTCATTGTTCCATTTGTGTGTGATTGTGTGTATGTCTACAAATATTACCCTCATCCTTCCTGTTAATCTGCAATGGTAGATCCTGTTGAGAGTCCTTTTGTCGTTGAATAGTTAATTTCCTCACAACATTCTGTGCCCAAGTCCTTAGGTAAGCTATACCTGGCTAACCTAGTCTTTTATTCTATGCTTGGTCATAGAAAAAAAGACGATATTTAGTCATTGATTAAAGACAGTCTGTTAACATTTCCTGAAACTAATAAGCACATCCATTGTTCTCATAATAGAAAAACACTTATATTTTCCCTCAAGAATTAACCATTTCTAGGAAAAGTACTGAATACTAATGACAGTCAGTCAACAAATATTTGCAGAATGCTAGTGTAAACAGCATTGTGCCCGGTATTGCGGGCTCTCCAGAGATGTGCACCACCTTGTTCCTGCCATCTGAAATGTCCTAGACTTCTCAACGAACAGGATATGTACACTAATCAAGTTAAATAGCAACCTAAAGTATGTTAAATATGGTTATAAGGTAAGTGAGAGACATGGACAAGAATGAAGAAGCTTAGAGGAAGGAGAAATCATTTTTACTTGAATCAGAGAGTGGTAAAAGATTTAATGGAAGCTTGAATAGGGCATTAAATAAATAGTTGGGGTTGGAGTATAAGGAGTAAGGCTATCTGACATTTATAAGCAAGGGCGGCAGTTATCATACTTCCTGTCGCTAGCAGCAATGAAGAAACAACCAAAAAAGTGCTGGGAAGTTTTCTTCATCAGTGACTTAATTGTTCCTATTTTCTCCGGAAGTAAAATTTCAGAAAAGCTTCCACCTAGGACATACAGCAGCTATTTTAGTTCCTGTAAGGATCAGCTCAGTAGGAAATCCTCCCAGACTTTTCTCCCAAGTAAAATTTCAACAGGAAGACAGGAATAAGATACGTTGAAAAGTTATTGCTCATGACTACAGTTTGGTAATAAAGGCCTGATTCAGTCTCATTGGCAATTTTTTTTTTTTTTTTTGAGACGGAGTCTCATTCTGTCCCCCAGGCTGGAATGCGGTGGTGCGATCTCGGCTTGCTGTAACCTCTGCCGCCCAGGTTCCAGTGATTCTCCTGCCACAGCCTTCAGAGTAGCTGGGATTACAGGTACCTGTCACCGTGCCCATCTAATTTTTGTAGTTTTTAGTAGAGGTGGGGTTTTACCATCTTAGCCAGGCTGGTCTTGAACTCCTGACCTCGTGATCCACCCACCTTGGCCTCCCAAAATGCTGGGATTATAGGCATGAGCTACGACGCCTGGCTTCATTGGCAAATTTAATAGCGCTCATTGCTGAGTTATATCTTGATTTGAATCCTAACATATAAGGAGATATTTCCAAATTCACTATTTTTCTACACATTGATAGGTGGCTATTGGTATTTATCATTATAGGTAAATATAATTTTATAGCAGCTTCTGTTAACCTCTAAAAGTTTCTTTTCTTTTCTTTTTTTTGAGACAGAGTTTTGCTCTTGTTGCCTAGGCTGGATTGCAGTGGCTCGATCTCACCTCACTGCAACCTCTGCCTCCCAGGTTCAAGCGATTCTCCTACTTCATCCTCCTGAGAAGCTGGGATTACAGGCATCCACCACCATGCCCAGCTAATGTTTGCATTTTTGGTAGAGACACGGTTTCACCATGTTGGCCAGGCTCCTCTCGAACGCCTGACCTCAGGTGATCTACCTGCCTTGGCCTCCCAAAGTGCTGGGATTACAGGTGTGAGCCACTGTGCCTGGCCAATCTCTTAAAGTTTCTTTTACAATAAAGCATTTATTAGTATTACAAACTATTTTAATCCTATTTTTTGTTTTGTAAAGCAGATTTTAAAATGAATAGAATTTATATTGAGACTCTTTGATTATATTTACTTATTAAAAGCAAACCCATTAGTGCATTTAATTTCAGAGTCACACATCTGTCTAGTTTTATTCTTTTATTATATAGCTAAAGGAAAAATAATGCCGCACAGAAATGAAACCAGTTTTTCCAACACGGTAAAGATAGAATCTAGAGACAGCCTACTCACTTTATTTTTATTTTATTTTTTAGTCTTTTGGCTAGTAGCAAATTGATGTGGCCTTGTGCATGATTCTTGTTCAGCTGTGTGAATTGCTGCCAGTGTGACAATAAGCTGGAAGCTATATCCAACTTGCTTTGCATACTATATTTTTGTAAAGATCTGTATCCTTTCAAGATATTACTAAGTGATCCATGATTAAAGGTTTTGGTGGTGTGCTAATTTTAGGAAAGGTGGGAGCAATCACAATGGATTTAACATAGTGTATATTGGTATTTCATTTAACCCAGTGTTTCCCAAATGTATTTGAACTTGGAAACACCCACCCCCTTTCTTCTTTCCTTCGTTCCAACTTCCTTTCTTTCTTTCTTTATTTTTTAAGAACACATATTAAAATCTCTTATAGAACAAGTTTCAGGAATGTGCACTATGAAACTTTCATACACACATGCACATTATAGAGATATGTTGTTTATGTCTTTTTCTATTAATCTCTACCTTTTCTGGGCATAGGTTGGGAGGAAGAAGGAAAATGAGTAACTTACAAATTTTACTAGTTATTCTGATGTCAAGTTTAGTGGGAAGGAGGCTGAAACTTCTATCTAAAATAAAGTTTGAGATTGATCTGAGTATTTTAAGAGTTCTTACTATCTGTGTCTTCTATAGCCTGTTGCTCTATACAATCAGGAGTTGACAGAGCATAACAGAAGTTACCTCTATGGGGAAGAGTAGGGTGGGTCAGAGGTGAAATGAGAC